TCCCGCCTATCTAGAGGCAGAGCCAGCTGTTCCCGCCCCCTCCCTCGTCTGTTCCTCCAGTCAGCGCTGGAGGATCGGAGAGGGTGGGGGGAAATCCCTGGGGACAGTCACCGCTCTCTGCAGGGAGATGATCGGGAAGTGAGCGAGCGTCGGTATGGGTTCGCTCACTTCCCGATCAATAGAGCCGACCAGTGACGGTTTCAATGTCACAGGTCGGCTCTAACAATGAGGATGAGTGTAAATCACTCACCTCATAGTTCTCCTTTTAATTTGATTGGACAAAAACAGCCAATGTGTTTCGGGGGCAGCAAAACTCCCCCCTTTATCGGGGCTCAGAATGGTATAAGGATTTGATTGGACTCAAAAAATACTATAACCTAATGGATTTCTATATGATTTGATACAAAGATCTTCTTTGGGGCCGGAATTGTAATTGGCAGCACACCCAGGATAGATTTTTGCCTTGGTTTCATAATGTTCTTTCACAGAAAGCTTGCTTGTTCTTTTGCAACACTGCGACCACTACTAATCTGTATATTGAATCAACTTGTACACGAACTCTTGAAAGGCCCATCAAGACTCTTCCCTGTGTATTCAGCTGATAAACTAGAAGATGTTACATTCTGTTTAAAACACCGCTCATTACCTTTTGTTTCTGGAGATGGCATCTAACGACTATCTAACTATTGCAAAAACAACAGATGCAGAACCGCGAACACAATAGCTAATTTAGGAGGGTAATATCGCAAACCTACTTTCGGAACGCGCTAATTTTGTGTCCATGATTATTTTGTTATTCCACCTCACGCTGTATAAGCATTTGGTCTATGGAACACTGTATACGTTGGCTTAATAATGGCATTCATTATAGAAAAAGCTGCGTAACGTCTGGGTATCTAGCGGATAGATTTTGTTTTCCGCTTTCCCTGAAAAAAAATAGAACGCACTTTGTTTGAACCCTATAAATTATTTTGCCTTGTCAGTTCCAGTCTGTTTGAGTTGTGGAACTTCTTTTGCACCACCTTATCTGCTTAATTATAATATTTTTTAATGCGAACCGTGTTCTGCCAAAAGGCTTCCAGTTTGATTTGATACAATCCTTGCCTCGGGGCTACCGTGGCGAAGGGGACAAATCCTGTTTTAATGACAATTTTTAAATTAAAAGCTTGCCTTCATTTTTCAAAAAGGTGTCTCCGATAAGCAGGATTTACATAACCAGGTCAAGTCCCTCGTGTCAATGGGTAAATATTTAAATGACTGGCTTAGCTCCAAAATATTTTTATCCCAAGAGAAAATCAAGTCGGCTTCTTATTTGTCATTTTGTTCCCTCTAAATATCTATTATAGGACTTTTTTCACTGTGATGTCAGATATGCCTCATTCTTGTTATATTGAACCTGTCACCACAGGGTCACTTGTAAAAGAAGGCCAGCCATGTAAAAGAAGCCCATCTATACCTACCTGTCCAGTGACCTGGGTCCTAAAACACCGCTGCCTTATTGCTTCTTGGCCGCTACAGGTATTCCACAATTCCCAGTCCGTCTAATGCATGTTACTTCTGCTGCATGCAGTGGTTCTTCCCTCTGGCTTCTATGTCCCATGGTGAAAGGTGGAAGAAAGCACTGCATGTAGCAGGGAGAGCAGGTATTCCACCCACCCAGAAGGTTCAAATACAGCCAGGGAGCAGCTGAAAGGTAAGTATAGATGGGCCTTTTTTTCAGGGCTGGCCTTCATTTTATAAGTGACCCTGTGGTTAAGGAACTCCAGATTCATCCAGAACCCTTGTATATATTCACGTGATCCATTTGTACATAGCATTCTGTTAGATTTGTCCCAATCCTGAATATAAAAATGAGCTCCCCTAGGAAACCCATAAACATAAAATAACTTTCCATTCATTTATTCACTTCAGCAAAGAAGTGAGTTAAGTCATGTATGGCACCCCCAGCAACTCTGTGACTAGATTTAGGTGTTGCTAGTGATCATATACACTGAATGCATACTCTCCAACTTTCTGAGATGACAAAGAGGGACACCTTTTAGTATAAAGTGTGTAAGAAAGGATACACCCCTTGCCATGCCCCCAATTATATGGACCATGAAGAATTAAAATGCAACTGAAGCCAAAACTTGGATTACATTTGGATAATGGAGAGGGATTAGAACTCCTGATGGGTTTTATTGCTGTCCTTGTCTCCGTTAGGAAGATTCACCCTCCCTTTTTGTCCTGGTGACCGTAAAAAGTTTTGGCTTTAGTTCTACTTTAATATGTAAAAATTATCGGTTGAATTAGCCACAGCCACCTCCAATATCTAAATTTTGTGTTCACCATCTTACACACCATGAATAGGGGACCCATACCTAAGACAGGTCCCCAAACATTATCCTCTAGCACCTATTTGTTTTACCGTCTCCAAAGACCCCAACCGCTAACCCAGAAAGAAATACAATCAAACTGAGGACAACAACAGGGAGGGTGGGAGGGAAGTTCGCTCCTCGTCCCAAATCTCCAACTGATGAAACGAAAAGCCCGTCCTTCTCAGACCACCACCAAATCTCCAACTGATGAAACGAAAAGCCCGTCCTCAGACCACCACTAAAGCCCCACCTAATCTTTTGACCCGACCAATCAGGTAAGTGACCTTGCCATGAAACCAAACCCAATTTTAACCCTTCATAACATTAGTTTGCTACTTACAGACTGTTCTGTTCAGAAATCTCATTTTTAATAGAAGTTTTAACGGCATTTTGCCATCATTACAATTGAAGAAAATGTAATTCTCAGCTGAAGTGTTTGTTTTTCGGAGAAGCCGCCCTGTCTTTACATTCACTCACCCCTGCTCTGTGTCACGCAGCCATCGGTGGAATGTTGCAGATTTCTCTTTTTTAATTTTGCTTTGTGAAGTGGTGAAAGCTCTTCATTCTCGGCTCCAGATATCAGCGCTTTCATCCCGCGTGCCGAGGAGGAAATTTCTCCCTCACCGAAAGCCTTAGTCATGAGTCCAATTCCCTGTTGGGCCAGACCTTTTGTATTTCATCCCATTTTCACATTTTTCCCCCAAGCTTGAATTTCAATTATGTTCAGATTCAAGAGCGCAAATGAAGACATTTTTCACACGTAAATATATAACTGATATAAGAAAAAGTAATTGAAGGGCTGGAAATATTTTGCGCCAGTACTGATGCCGTGTAGTCATATATGTCAGACCAGTACATATCTGCTTCATATGATTTCATATAGATGGAGATATTGTATTGTCGCCTGAAGGGGCACTATGCCACTTTACATATTTCAGCACCAATCTGTGAAAGTTCTGTATATGTAAAGCAATCCATAAAACCTCATATAAGCTTTCATGTTATTGTTATTTTAAAAGTCATTTTCAATATATTAAAATCTGCATCTTTCATCAAAATAATATCCTGGTGATCCCGCCTTCAAGATCCTTGTTCCTGGTACAGGGTGACAATTCTCTGTCCCTCTCTAACAACTGTACTTCTGCACCTCATGAGTTGTTTCAGAATCACGCATCTTTATTAACTTAAAGCTGAACTCCAGGGAGATATAAAAGACACAAATAATGCATCATTAATACATCTTTAAATGTGTGTTTTTTTTTTTTTTTAATGCAAGCCGTGTAAGTACCTGAATGTCACCTCTCGGTACAGCAGGGCTGGAGTGTATTGGGATGAAACAGTACAAGGAGCCAATCAGTTCTCGTGCTGACAACAGGCATGCTGCTGAGAGGAGAAAGCAGCGTGACAGAGAGATGAGCTCACTGTGCTGATTTTCCTTTCACAGGCTGAGGGTGGATTAATGATAATCTGGCCTCCGAGAAAGTGGTTTGAATGATGCTGGCCATCAGAGGACATTTAGTGGTGAAAAAAAGTATTGCAGGGGAAATCTCTAGATTGATGGTAAATATTGCAGCAAAAGTTGGTTTTGTTAGTCTGTCTTTTATTGGGCTAACTAGTTAGTTTTTTTTTTTAATTGGGCAAATTAAATCTTAACCCTTGCAGCGACCTGCCACAGTGTGTATGTGTGTGTAAAATATATATATA